GTGACACTAGTCACGTGACCTCACTGACGCAACACTATTACCCTATGATGTTTACAAATCTTCGCTAAAGTTGTGTTATAGCTTTCTTTTGAGCACCTAATTACAATTACCGAGTGTTTCAAAGCTTGTATAACAGTAGTATTATTATGTTCTTCTACCATACCTATTTCTGTGAGGAACTAATAAAAGGAAAATTTCTATTTAGCAGTGAGTTCAGTTTATAAGTATATATTATTTCTATGTTTCATAGATAACACTTTTATTCCTGGTCGCTAGGTAGCAGTACAAACTGTTCTTATATAACCACCGTTTGTAACTTTTCATTCACAAACATGATGTCTGCTAAAACAATTTCAGTAAAAAATAAATAAAGAAGTAATAACCTAAATTCATATTCAAGGTATCGAGAAGATCAAGTATTTATGCAACTGACAGATCTTTGTACATGTTATTGATGTCCGAGTTTAAAAACACTAGTTTTTAATTATCAAAACAATACATTATGTAGCAGTCTACTTTTCTTAACTTTTCAGTGGAGCCGAGTCTGAAAGCTGTGTGTGTGTATGTATGTTTGATGCATTTTTGTTTATACCTCCTCTGTGAGAGTGGATTGATAAAGAAAAAAGTGTGTATATGTATGTTTGATGTATTTTTGTTTCTACCTCCTCTGTGAGAGTGGATTGATAAAGAAAAAGTGTGTGTGTATGCATGGTATCATACTTCATGACCAGGGATCTGTATGGTGTCCTCCATATTAATTGGCATGACCCTAGCATGTGATGGAATCGATTGGATGCACATGCAGTAAGTTGGGGTGAACTTTACCATCCAGGAGGAACCATTGCAGCTCCACTGGCTCCCAGTGTAATCAAAAATTAGAGAAACTGAGAAAACTGATAAGATATTACCAATATATATATTACCATTGAATTATAAAAATAAAGCAAATGTTCGCTTATCATCCTAATTCAATGAAATTGTTAAAAAAGATGAGAAATAAGTAATAAGAAAATGTGTAAACATTTAGTATGATGTAGGGATGGAAATGCTATAAAATACAGAAACAAAGTAGAGATGAATACTCAAAACCATACAAAAGTCACTAAATAAGTAGCCAAATCTTTCCAAGAATAACTTTTATCTACAACTAAATTTTGAATTCCTGTCAGTTGCATGAATTCAGGTTTGAATACAAACATTTAAAGTGAATAGTACTGTACAGTCTTACAGTGGCTAATAACCATAACCAAATATGCTCGCCTTTTCAGCCATGGGGATGTAAAAATGGATGGTCAATCCCATTATTCATTGGTAAAAGAGTAGCCCAAGAGTCGGCAGTGGGTGATGATGATAGCTGCCTTCCCTCTAGTCTTTCACCACCAAATAAGGGATAGCTAGCACAGATAGCCCTCGTGTAGCTTCGCGCGAAATTCAAAAAACAATAACCATAAGTTAGTCAGATTGGCACAGTATTTACTAGCTTCTTGTGTAGCGATGTTTGTGTGGTTTTGTGTATTTATCCCTGCCTTATTTCTGTACTTTTTGTCATTGCCATCTTGTCAGATATTTTATATTATGAATAGTAAGTTAAGATATATGGGTGTGTTAGGCAAAGGATTCTTCTACAATAGGTGTCTGTTACTTGTTGGCAATATATTCATAAAAATAAACGAACAGCGCTCACTCCACTTGTTTTCACAATAATATATATATATATATTCAGAACGTGTGTACAGAAATTCCTTAAACTATGGAGATCATAGTTATATCATAAACACTATACAGTTCTCTTCTTGTTGTCAAAAGTCCACTTAGGCCTATTCAATGGCTTTAGAATTCAGTTGACAAGCCGAACTATTTTTCTCTATTCCTACCGTCAGAGTATCCGTGAATAGTTCACTTACGTTGTCGTTGAATTATTGCACTTGTATCCTGTACTTCAAAAATCGTCTGTTCCTTTTCGTATTTCCAAGAATCGTTTATTTTTTGTCAAAATCCACTCAGGCTGGTTCAGTTGCTTTAGAACACCCTTTGATAAGACAACATATTTTCCACTCTTACTAACTTGTTAATCTCACTGTAACATATCAACCGTTAGGCCTTTCACTCATCGAACATCTCTCAACCGTCACTCAACCTTACTCTCTTCTGCTCTTTTTTTTTCGTCTGGTTACTGCTATTTATACGTCCATCACATAAGCCTTCTACAAATTTCTATGTCCTCGTACATCCTCGACATTAAAGGATTGCACGCGACGTTTGATAGTTTCGACATCAATGAATTATATACACAAATTACGATTCTTATGTAACCAAACTTGTTGTAACTATAGCCTTTAAAATAATTGCTTTTAACTCTCGTTATGAAAAAACTAAACAATCTTGAAATGTTCACTCACAAAATAAAGTAACTAATAATACCTACACTAAACTGTCTTTTATATCTGACACATACCTGCATCATACTTAATATTTTACTATTTTTTAATTGCATATACATTATACAAATGCAACAGAACTCACCATCACCACCAAACAAGAAAATACATGATACAGTAAAATTATCCTTTATTAGTAATGTTTAAAACAACTGTAATATCCAATAGTATATATATATATACTGTATAAACACTTGTGCCTTAACTTAACCTTTAACCTAGACATATGTACTCTGCTTAAAACGTAAAATTAAACCTTAACCTAAACATGTACACTATACAAAAATAAATTAGTCTGCCAAAACTGATTGTACAAAATAAATAAGATATGTATATATAACTTGGTAGTATGTAAAATCATGATCTTTGTAGTGGCACTTTAGAACCATTATCAGTTGCCGTTTAAACTCTACCAGGGGCTTTAAAGGAAGTACTATCCTCTCTATCATAAGGATTGCTGCAAGTGTAGTGATGAATAATGATGCCCTGCTGCTGATGTTGTAAACTTCTGCCACAGCTGGTCGTGCCATCTTTGATGTTGCTAAAGTTGTGGCTGACACTTTGGGGGCTTCTACTGACATGGTGGTGGTAAAAGGAGCATTTGTTCTGGAATTTGCTTCTCACTTGAATGAATGAAGATAATATGATTCAGAATCTTATGATTCTCCTGGAGGTTCGCTCACATACACCATGTTAAATGCTCTTCCCTACAAAGAATCCTCTGATGGGACACTTTATCTTTTTTCCTTCATTCTAACTTTCTTTTATTGGACTTCTTTTGTTCCACCTGCTCCATCACGTCAATGGGGACCATTTTCAATAAAGTCCTATATAATTGAGCATCTCGCATGTTGTAGATTGAGGACTCATCTGAGTCCACTTTTTCTGGCTCCTGCAGATCTGCTTTCAGTGGGACTATTAACAATGAGGTGGTCTGTGGTGTGAGGGGATACTCCAAAGTTTGGTGGACAAGCCCTACAGTATCACCTTCAGAGATGCATTGTTGAGCAATGTGTTTTCGTCCATTGACTCCTGTAACATAAAAGTAAGGTTAACCCCAGACGTGGAAGGCAATGCCAGAAACTTTGAAGTATCACTAATATCATTCCTTTATATTTTGTCAATTCGAGTAGGTATCTGCAGTGTTTGAGAATACTGGAAACACAACTGGCCAGTTCAAAAAATAAAGATAGCCATAAGGGTAATGATTTGATCTTAAATAAGAAAAGTCAGGAAAATTCACTCAAGAGTGTTGATTGAAGTTTGTCATGCCCCTGTCACAAATATACTTTGTTCTGGAAAGCCCATCAGGAAAAGAGAATGAAGAAAAAGTATAAAATTATAATGTGGTCAAACTGTGTGTATAGGCTATGTGAGCTCATGTGTCTCCAGACCATAAACAAGATCCCTACTACCTGCTTACCACATTCGATGCAGAAATCTTCAGATCCAGAAATGAACCAAAACATTGTCTCCCCCCCCCCCCTCAGGATCCCGGGGGCGTTTTATTTGAAATTGTTTTCGTATCTCCATCCACAAGCTAATAAGACCAAACTTGGTACACGTGCTCAGATGCCATGGGTGGGTGTCACAGCGAGACTTATTTTCGGTTATTATTATTAATAATAATAGAAGCAATTGAAAATAATGGAGGAGACTGATTAATACATTGAGGCGTCTGTGAATTATGAGGAGCCTCTGAACCTCGCAGCGGACCGCAGCTATTTTATGCTAGTCATTATAAGTAAGATAATTTCAGCAGTATCTTTAATTAGCTATGCTCACTACAGGGTATATTTTTAGTTACAATCTGTGTAGGAAGCTTGATTTGATCAGAAGTTAATATTATTATGATAAAGTTACAGTTTTTAGATATACTTACTACATATGTTTGTTTCAGTAAAGAATATAGCCGTTGCTGTAGGTAACTGTAGATATCGTAATATTTATTATTTTTAATGCAAATGCACTCAGTCATTTAAATATTTGTATTTATGGTTTGCACCCGTAGCTCAGCGATAAGCCCGAGGACTTATAACGCTAAAAGACGGATTTCGATAGCCTCGGTTGGAACAGCAGCGATAGTCCATCCTATCGTTTCATGCTTAACAAATGTGATTTACTGCGCCTGTAGATCACTCCCTTGCCATGAAATACAACTAGTTTACAGAAGATTAAGGCTTGAATTACCGCAAAGATGAGCACAAAAACAGAGTAAAATTATGATGCATTCAATTTTCTTTAACTAGAAATAAAGATTTGTGATTTTTATTTCTCATTCTTGTGACTTAATGCCACTGGCAGGTCATCTTCAAACGATTTAAATCTACTATGATTAACGTTTGCAGCTCGAAATGAATTTCTTTTCCAACTTATTCATGTGTCACTAATTAATATATATCTATTTAGAGGGCGAAGAAAATGCTAATTATGACGTCAGCATCATGGGATTTTCAACCATGATTTCAACACAACAGCAATGAAACTTGTTGATGTGTATAGATCTACAACTTGTGAATATCATAATATAGTAGATACTTTTAACTCTTAGAATTAACTCAGAATAAATCTTAATAGCTGAGTAAAGGAGACGTAGCATTGGTAAGTAATTTATATAACTTGTGTTCAACATAAATAATTTGTTTTAGCCAATCACTGAATCAGCTGTTTTTTCTATGTTGACTGTTTTGTTGTTTTTTCAACGTAAAGTTGTACAGAAACTGTGCTTTGTAGTACGTGTCATGAAATAGAGTATGACACTACATGTATATCTATGACCTAGGCTTCTGGTTATCGTATGCGTTTTGTAACCGTAATTTTACATACAAGTTATTACAACGCATGAACAAGGGACCATTTGGTCCTTCCACATCCACCCTTGGAAAAAAAGCAAAAATTTAAACCCACACGTTACTTTGTATATGAACTTATGAAGAGAATAAGCAGTAATGAGATTTTGGTTCCAAATTTAAAAAAAAATTGAAGGGATGAAAGAATAATTATTTGTTATGAATTGGCAACTGAATTAATTGGAGAAACCAATGAAATGTGGAAAACTTTTCAAAATAAATTTATAGATATTCAACTTTCAAGATAGAAAAAAAACGGAGTGACTGCAAGTAAAAACTAGTTTGGCTCACAAAGGCTATAAAGTATAAAAAATTTTGAAAATTTATTATAAATTTAAGAAGTTTACAGCTGTATGATGGGATATTTAAGAATCATAGAAGATCAAGATAATTGGTGAAATAGGAGGTTGAATAAAATATATATGGAAAAAGATTGGCTGAAAATGTAAAAAAATTAATAGTAAGGCTTACTTTAAATACATTAAAGGTAAGAAAAATGTTGGCATTGGAGTAGGGCCTTTTGAGGGATGATACAGGATGGCATATATTTGATGAATATGAGATGGTCAGGCTATTAAATTATACTTTTTCTTTAATTTTCCTAATGAAGATTTAAGCATTAAACCTCATCCTGAACAGTTGATAGATGAAAGCAAACATGAACAAGATTATCAAATTAATTCTGAGCTTGTTAAAAAATTGGGAAGTTTAAAGAATGATAAAGCTCCTGAGCCAGATAATATTTACCCAAGAGTTTCAAAGGAGGTTAAGGATTGGCTATGTGAGCCACTTGCTACTATTTTTTTTTGTAAGTTCTTGAACAATGAGCAGGTGTCAGAAGACTGGAAGTTGGTTAATGTAACTGTTATTTTCAAGGGAAATGATAAAAATTGTCCCAGTAATTATGGGTCTTTTATGCGTTCATCAGTTGTGGGAAATGTGTTTGAAAGAGTGATAAAGATGCTTTGCAAAGTCATTTAAAGTTTAAAATTTTGTTGGGTAGTCAACATGGTTTCTCTAGGGAGAAGTTTTGTCTTAATAATCTTTTACCTTCAGATGTGGTGGATTTAGTTAATTTAGGGGAGTTTAAGGGAAAGCTTGATAAAAATTTTAATGATAATGGCTGGCTTTGAAGAGTTTACAGCTTATGTAAATGAAGGTATTTGTGTGGATTTGGTGTATTTGGATTTTTGGAAAGCATTCGACAAAGTGCCACACAAAAGGCTTGTTACAAAAATAACCTGTATGTGTAGGAGATAGGTTGACCCATTAGATAGAAAACTGGCTGGATGGAAAAAAAGCAAAGATTTATTATAAATGGAGTTCAGTCAAACTGGATTGATGTCACAAGTGGGGTACCTCAGGGATCAATGTTAGAACCTATGCCCTTTTACATCAATGATATAAATGAAGGAATGGTCATTAAATTATTCAAAATTTGCTGATGATATTAAGGTTTTGGGTGTCACTGGCTGTGAGGATGCTGCTGCTGTTTTACAAAATGATTTGAATTATTTGATGAGTTGGACATATAATGGCATATGGCTTTTAATTATAATAAATGTATGTGGGATATCATGATATAAATTATGGGTATACTTTTGATGGGAGTAACCTTAACATTGTTTTAGAAGAAAATTATCTTGGTGGTCTAGTTGATTAGTCTTAAAGTATCCAAGCAATGTTCTGTTGCTTATGGCAGGGCAAATAGGATTTTAGGCTATATTTGCAGAAATACTGAATACAGAGTAGTTATAATTTCACTATATAGGTTAATAGTTAGGCCACATTAGGAGTATTGTCTTCAGCCTTGAGCTCCTCACCTTAGGAAGGAGATTGACTTGTTGGAAAGAGTTTAGAGGAGGGCTACTTGGATGATGTCTGGGATGGAAAGGTTGTCATACAAGGATCGATTAAGATTTCTGAAATTTCTTTCTCTTTAAAAAAGAAGAGTTGGAGATCTGCTTGAGGCATTTAAGATTGTTAAGTGAATTGATATATATTTCTAAATAGAAACAACTTTGTTTTCTAAAATAAATCATATTTTTATATTATTACATTCCGTATGTTGAGATAAATCATTCTTTGGAATATTCATGTCTAATCTAAAATAAGAGTTGAAAATACTTTGGCACATTTAGTCAAAAGAAAAAAGTACAAGACACCTAAATTTAAAATATCCAAAACAATTCAAAACTGAAACAAGATAAAGGAAACCAGCAGGGGTGTTGCTAAACTCTGGCACACAGGACCTGTGTGCCAGATGTATTTCACAGTATCCCAAATCTGTTGTGTGTAAACTGTAATATATTACATTGCAGTTATTTTTTAATTATGTTGAGTGCTACCTGCTTCTTGGGTCTCAAGACCAAAATCTTTTGGGTAGCTAGTGATGCTCTTGAAAGCAGGCTTCTATGAAAGCTAGGACTATATTTTAATTTTTCTGTTTTTTTTTCTAGTATTTTTTCAATTTGTAATTCATAAAGGTTAGTTTTTTAAAAGATGAGTTTCAATAAGGGGCTAAAACAGCCCTTGTTAGATTTAAATTAAAAATTTTCTTAGATCTAATGACAAATGTGACAGATAATTGTGTATAATTACCAAGATGGCAGATACTAATGTGTATTAACCAGCATATATTTTCTATAGTAATTGCAGAAAATGTTAATTTTCAACAAATCCAATAATATATATATTATGATAATTCATCATCACCAAATGGGATGAAAGTATCAGTACGTGTTTCCTGTGCATTATGTGATATTCATTTAAAACAAATCTGTAAGGGTATCATATTGTCAGAACTAACTCTATAGAATGTTTTTTACTTGATTCCGTAGATGTTCCTACAGGACTGCACTTCATCCATTGATGTTTTGTCATCTAAGATGTATTTTTCTTTCAACAGCGTACAGGCTGTCTTTGCTTCAACAGCCAAGAATCAGATAGGACTAAGTCTGTGTTTCAGTTACATGGAGAAAGTTGTGACTGTCCCTGCACTACATAAGATATAGGATTGTGGAAATCATTTCTAGGTGTAAATGCTGCAGGAAACCTCACTAATCTAGTCACTAATGTTAGTGAGTTTTTTTATTTTCTCTTTTTGTAAAGAAGTGTACTTTTTGAATGAGAATATATGTTCCACCATTCTTTGCCATTTCTACAAACATTTTTGCATCTTTGAAGTTGTAGAAGATCAGGTCCTTTTGTGGAACATGCAGTTTGTTTGCCTCGTACTTAATCTCTGTATGTACATTCCCTTAACCCTCTCAGTATGGGCTTGGTTATTTTGACCAACCTTGCAACCACCATGTAATTATGAAATTATACATGCTATTATATCTTCATGAAATTTGGCAAGTTTTTAGTAAACATTACAATCTTTTGTGAACAAAAAAGAATCTGATTTTTTACCGGAGATTTCCATGTGAATTTATTGAGTTAAAGTGACTCAGACCAATTTGAGTGCAAAGTTATTTTGATATTAAGATTAAAAATATTTTTTTCATTGTACAATTTTCAAATTTTATTAGCATTATGTCAAATGTGTATCAAAAGTTTTTAGTAAAACTTTATATTTTATTTTCTCTATCCTTACACTATACAAGTTTGTTCCATTTGACTGATCTTGTAACAGCCACAAAAAATATTAAATAAACCTTAATTGTAACACACAATTACAATTATTTATCCTAAACAGCCTCAGACTCATAATTTACATCTAATTTTATTGTTTTGTTGCTCATTGAACCACATCTAACTATTAAACTGTATAACTAGCTAGAAATCTTCTAGTGAATGCATAGCTCAAGGTATGGTATTGAATTATGTAATACAAATTTCTTACAAGCATACCTTGCAGAAAAAATTTGATTTTTTTCATGTATGTTTTCTTGACTAACCTAATAAGATTCTAATTTTTACATCTCAGTTAATTTTATAAGAACATAGGAACATATAGGAAATGCACGACCACAGTACCTATTTGTGGGTCTTGTACTTTTCAGCAGTCAAAGATTCCAAGAATTTAATCCTAATTTTTGATACTGTTGTTTTTAGTAATTTACTAAATTTTTATTTAATTAGTTATTCAAATATTAAGTTTAGAACACAAGATAATATCATGCACAAAGCATACAATTTCCTATAAGAATTACAATTAAATGTGTTTTCTATTTAAGCTGTAAGTGTTTTAAAAACTACCTTAGTTGGTCAAGCTGATCTCAGCAATAGCAACTTTGAATCTGTACATTGTACACCTGTACATGAAAACAAGCTAGCATTATATATATATGTATCGGTAAATTAAATATTTTATTTCTATTAATTATAAATAATGTAATAATAAACATTATAGAATTATTAACTCTTTTTGAAAGACTGTGATACAAGGGCATGGCATATGGGTTGGACTTTGTGGTTTATACCTAAATAAAGATGATTAGAGTCTATAAAGTTAGATTGTATCTTGTTCAATGTGCTGGATAACTTAATACATGTTTCTTGGCATGTTCTCTGTTGTTGTTTTTATCTTCCCTTCCCTTGCTTTTCCCTATGCCTTAGCATTGGCCCCTCTTGTATTCATTGTTATCATGTGCCACATTCACTACCCATGGCTGACATTACATTCTTTGACTGTATATATCTGCTAACCCATTCTCAAGGAAGACAGAGTTCTGTCTCAGGACAGATTTCCATCAGTTGAAAAAAATTAAATTGGTAAAATAAAAATCTGACTTCTTAATTTCAGTACCCAAAACTATTGGGCAAACAGCTATTACAAATGTATGCTTACTTTGAAATGTTCAGACGAACATTTACCAATATACAACTTCAGAAAAATTGGAAATATTGTAGCCCAGCTTGTATATATTAATAATATAGTTGATCAATGCTTTTCTGAAATGAAGTATGCATCACATCATGGCAGATGTGTTTTTTGAACACGAGATTTTCTTAAGTGTTTTATGCACAATTTAATGATTATCCTTTCAAACTAATTCCTGTACTTAGTCATGAAAGTAATCAAATTAGATCTAGATCTATATTCACTTTATTTTGTCTGTAATAGGCCTAAACTTGTGAGTAATTTAACCTACAACAACATAACTTAGTTATAAGTCATAAAACTGAACAGTCTAAGGGGGGTTTACCCAGCTGCATGCTTAGTAAGCCTGTAAGGTCTTAATGCCAATAATAAAGTTTCTTTGAGCTGTAGGCTCCAGATAATGGCTCTGATTACATTTCATAGTGTAAAAGCTGTTCAGCTTCAAGGGAACTCGCCTTCCCTATAACCTCTCCCTGAATGTTTTCAGTCAATTCAACTTTTCTCTGCTGCCAACCCTGCATTTTTGGATGTTGCCTCTTCTCCTACCTCCTTCCCTTTACAGTAGCTGCTCAGTTTGGGGATCAGGGCTTGGGATATGGGTCCTTTCTCACACCCACTCTATCTCCACTATCTTGCTTTTTTTTTACCATCTTTCTCTCCTTACTTGTTCCCTCCTCCTTATTTCCTGAGTTTACCATTCTTTCAATGTCTGTCCCCTAGACACTTCTCACACCCAACTCGGGAGCAAACCGTACTTGTCTCCCATCTCTGTTCCTTCCATCTCTACTATTTGGCTGTCCAGACGTGGCTCAGCTTCTGTATCTTGTTGGACAGTTCTGTGTGCCTTATTATGGACCTCTTACTTTAAGGGTTCCATTTTTTTTCTGTCCCTATCCTTGGACCCCTATTTTCCATTAACCTCATTCAATAAAAGCTCATCTAATGGCTGGCAAAGAAGAGGTGGAAGAGAATGAAAAGGGTGATGAATAATATGTGAGTATTGACATCTCAAGACAAACTTGTCAACAAAGGAGTTGATGGGCCCATCCTTGAGAGGAAGCCAGCCAGATGTGTGCTCTTTCTACACACACCCATCTCTCTACCTTCTGATTGTTTTATCTCCTGAAAGTTTTTGGCATTCACAGGTCAGCGTTCTTTCATTGCTTCACCGTCTTTGAGTAGAATTTGCACCGCTTTCCTTTCAGGACCTCTTTTTCATTCAGTAGATCCCATTAGATGGCTAGTGTTGCATACTTATCCACAATCTGCATCGAACCAAGAATGAAAAGTGCTCATACCATCCACCCTAGCTCTACACATGCCTACCGTGACGTGAGGTGTTCTGCAAGATCACTTGAGGTTTCCTCATGGTATATATATATATTTCTGTCTATATCACATTTCTTGTTTGATCCAGAATGTGCCTATTCCATGGAATATCATGGAAAAAGTCAGCACCAGAGTAGCATTTCTGACAACTTTTCATGTGCTTGCTGGCTTTTAAAAATAGGGTTTTGCAGTCTCTCATTGCACTGTCTTTTGTAAAAGACTTTTCCAAACTGAAGGACCAATGGGGATCTGGACACATTGTTTGAGTCTTTCCTACATTGAGTGGAGTATGGGAGAACATTGTCACTTACCAGTTCCTAGCTGCTGGCTTGGTGTACCATGGGACCTAACCACTGGGGCTAGAATAAGGGTTTCCATTAAGGTAAGAAATGAGTCTTTTATGACACCAAGTTTGGTGCGGGTCACCCCACATATGTTAGTATGATACATCATACAATATATATGGACCGATGATACAACTCACTATACCAATCCATTCAATACCTATATCTTACAAGTCCTCCTTCTGCAGCCAACATCTGTATGGTAAAATTGAGGTAAACACACTATTTTTGATCCCTGCTATGTCACAAACATACCTTACTCCTGCAGCTGATAAGGAGCCCATAGACTGGCAGTCAAATAGTAGTACATAAATTATCCATACTGAACAAGTCCATACAGTTACCTCCTCCTGCAGCTGGCATTGGGCCTGTAGAGACTGACAGTAGAGGAGGTAAGCACAGATACTATCACAAGTGCCCTTCTCCCACAGCTGGGTTTTACCCATCTAGTCTGATGGTAGAGGAGGTGAGCACACAAGGTAGAATATATATATATGCCTCAACCTCAGTACACATATTAGCTGTCTGACATTTTGTGTGGGAGTACTTGAATGGCCATGTACTGATACTGCCTGTCCAAAGGTGTACCCGTATAGAGCTTTTGTTATTAGGTGTTATACTCCATGGGCTTCCTTTGGAAGCTTTCTGAAAGGGTAATCTAGGTAATCTTTGCATCAGTCCTTACACCATCTCTGCATGGGATTCTAACTGTGTGAGAAGGTGAGTATTCATTTTGGAAGTTAACATTTTCCTTACCTGAAAATGTATTTCCAATAGATACTTGCCTCTGCATACATTCCCACCCATCCTCCCCATGTAACTATAAAAAGTTGGTGGCTTGTGCACTTTACCTACTCATAATCAGAGGATTAATATATGAATTTTGAATTTTGTACTTTTCAAAGAACCATTCCAAATTCAATTGCCATTTTCTTTATATCTTCAGAGTATGTTACCATCGAGATGACATGCATCATTTTGATGGTGATGCTTATCTATTCAATTAATAATCAAAAATAGTAATCGTAAACACTAATTTTGATTAGTTGATTACTTCTGTGAGTCATGACACTAATTAACTGAGCTGAACAATCTGTAATTAATTGCAAATAATAAAGATATAATGACAATTATTTGATTATTTGGATAATTGGAATAACTGAAAACAGTAATAATAGAAAACAATAATTTTGATTAATTGACTATTTTTGTGAGAATTGATTTAATCATAATTTTGGTTATTTTACATGACACTAATCAATGTTAATGATGCTTGGAGATAATCAATTATATTGATTAATCAAGTTAATCTGCTATCTGTACAAGAAACACATCAATTCTTTCTTCATGATTAAGCTATATTTTCATTACTACTGCATCAGTCTTAACATTCTAAGTGTTTACTGTCCACTACCACTACATGTAAGGCATGTGTGACATTTATTTACAACTGACATGCAGCAGAATTAGCAGCCTTAGTATAATTGTTGTGGCTCAATATGTATATTCATAAATGTGATGTTGGCAATTTTGGATGTTTGCAGAAAAACATTTAATACACTTACAGAGATGGTTACCTACATAGAGAGCATACAGTTCATTTTCATAGTTTTGTGAAAACAAATTTTGTTTTGTGTGAAGAATATGAAATCTGAAATTTTCTTAAAATATATAAGTATGCTGTTGGAAGAATTCGGTTAGATAACTGTATATGTTTTAAAACTTTTGTAAAGATATTAAGTAATTAGTTGGTAGACATTTTAAGGGTTATTTCTTAAAAGTAGTTGTGCATTGGGAAAATTCATGATGGTTGAAATATTGGTATCATGGTTCCTGTCTGTTAGAAAAAAAGAAGGGGTGTGAGGGAGGAATGGAAATTACAGGTGTAGCAGTTGGAATTATGTTGTGGGTAAGGTATTGTACTTTGTTATTGTTAATTAGTTGAAGGTGAAATTTGGTTTCAAGAAAGTTATTTCTTTTGCAACAAACTTGCAGTTTCTACTTTTTGTGATGAAGACACCCTATGTGGATATTTATCTTGACTAACAGAAATGATTTTAAGTATTACAAAAAATAATAACTTTAAGTATTAGGTGAAAACATTAAGAGGTGGACTAAAGAAGGGTTCAGTGTTAGGAAGCAAAACTAAGCCTTCTTTTAGAAATATTATCTTGTGGAATGGCTAGCCTGATGATATGTGACAAACATTTGAAATAACAGCACTCAGATATGCTTATAGGTTGATTATTTGTATGGATAAAGGGATGATTTTCCATCATTTTTCTTGTAATAAATTTGAATTGTTTTAATGTTTTCAGTGTGACTAATAGCTTTACATGTCCTTTATTTTCCATTTCATATATAAATAAAATGAACAGCATCACTTCTACCAATTAGCTAAACCTGGTGGCAACACAAAGAATTGGGATTAGTTAACTTAGTGACAAATCTGTTTCAAATTTCATATCTTTTCAGTACAAGCATTCATTACCTCTCATATTACAGATTGTGACATTGTTTTGAAGTTGGAACACTTAATAGTAAAGCACTTAACCATGGTTACTGAAGTCATACACTATTGCCCTGAAATGAGGAAGCAGTTGAAAAAATATTCTATGAATATTGAAGTTATGATGTATCATTTGTGAACCAAATGTTTATTTTTTGTTATTAATGCATTATTGGAATTACAGCCAAAAATTTAACAGCAAGGGTACTCACTTGGTGAAATAATGCATTGCAATCTTAATAAGTAGAAAAGTAAAAATGGTGTATTTAATTAGCTATACTGATTGCTTTGTTGGTTTTTAGTTTCACTGTAAGTAAATTGCTTGCTCTGATCATAAATTAACATTAAAATTAATCAGTACAATATTTGTTTCAGAAATCCTGCTTATAGTATGTGGTCAAGTACTAAAAATACCAGTACATGTAATTTGTGGATGGAAAGATTTTGAAGTTGAAAGGAATTCTTCAGACAAATTGTGTAATTTCACAGCATTAATGTGTTTGCATTCAAGTCGGGCTTCAATAGTTTACTTTTGCATGGTATAAGTATAAAAGTAAAAGCATCACAAATCACTATCAGTGTGTTTAATTGTATTAGTTGTAAATTATTTTGATGAAGTTGATGTTTCAATTGTTCTTGTATACTTAGGGTTCACAACTGCTGACTCATGGCTAGAGACAGACATTCTTGGCTGGTTGAGGAAATTAATTCTGTCCTAGCAGCTGACTTGAATACCAACCTCTCAGGTTTAGGTATTGGGTCAGAATCATCAGCTTACAACATGAGGTAAAGTTTTGTTCTCTAGACTTTTCAGTTTTATAAAGGAAATTTTAAACTGTATCATAAAAAAGATTCTGAAATATTTTCTGTAACAGTTGAAATTACCATTCACTTCTGATCCAAGCAAGCTACTTACATAAATAAGAACAAAAAATTAATATAGTAAGTAATGTAGCTGATTTAATATTCTGGTCTGAAAAAAAGAGAATTATTGTCTTAAAACTTGTAATGATTAGAATGTATTGAATCATTACTTAGATACCTTCACTGTTAGTAAGGATATACTTTTTGATATACACATTTACATATTACAGACAAACACACAATGGTTAATAAAATATGTAATATGTGACACTATGGGAATATAATTTATCATGCAATCCAACATAAAATGTAATACAAAAAAGTATTTAAAAACTTCAGTGAATGGCAATATTAGGATATTCATCAGAGAGACAAAACAGATTTGATGTAACAGAAGATTGGAAGCTAGAAATGAATATGCTAAAGTTATAGAAAAATTGTATTTTCAAAATTAGCATTTCCACACTTTCCTAGGAAACAAATTAATAACTTCTGCCAGCAAGACACTCATTACTCTTTTAGAATTTTTATCATCTATGCTGTGATAAAATAGAAGATTTGGGGATGAAAATAAACCCAAATAGTGAGATAGACAAGAAATTTTCCAAACTTTTGGTTTCTTAGAGCTCAGAGATGGTACAAGTGGTAATTTAAAATATCACAAGTTGTGCAGTGTTTTACTTATTATGTGTGTAATTCTATAGCATGGGTTCCAGAAGTTCTTTGCCTGTGACATACTCTGATTTTCCACTATGTTGTCATTTTCAAGTGCACAAAAAAGTACAAAAGTAGACCTTACTTTACCCTTTGGCACTTTTTTCATTACGTATGTATCAGTGTAATGTGTATTTGCAGTAATATTATGAAATTATGTTGGTTAAAAGTTGTTTGAATCATGCTTAATACGTTATTTGCTTTTGATTCAAAATGGTAATAGCAAATCAGACATTATTAGAAAAATAAATTTTGACCACTTCTCACTATAAGTGACAGAAATTTTTTTAATTTGGTTTTTGGTTCTTCAAAAAAGGCTCTTGAATTGTCAGTTGAGCATTATTAGCACAGCTTTCATCATGCTTTGGCTTATTTTGTTAGTGAGCACTATGGACTGTTGCCTAATTGTGTAGTTAATCTCACCAATTTTCCTGGTGTTCTGATGGATGTATTTCTAACTGTCATCTCAGACTTTCATTCACTTGCACCTCTGGGAGAGTATTTTCAGAAAAGTATTAGACTTTGCTTCATTGTTAACCTCTTTCCTATTCTCATTTGATCAAGGGGTTATCTTAAGTTATTCTGGTCCCATTGGACTTCTCATCTTCAAGATTCTAAGTTCCTTCAGATACGAGAACATGGTTTCCATCTGGCTTAGACAGCTCCTTTTAGTACTTTTCTTCTTTGAGTTCCAGTTCCTTGGGACTCATATAGGTTCAATGCCTTGTTAGCTGCTGTTCTCAATTATTGATATGTATTTCAATATAGAAAGGTAGACTCATCATTCCCTTAATTTCTACACTTGCATCTTTTGGGTTACTGTATGATCATCCTGGACATTTGGGACTTGTGCATTTCAGTTTGTCTTGCCTTTCAGTGTTTTCTTTGCTTACATTAAGGATAAGCTGTTACAGCTATGTGCTCTTCATTTTGGAATTGATTTATCTTCTACATCAACCATATACTTTTGCTTTTCGACATAATTTGTCAAAGCTTCAGCCTTACAGATGGCCATCATGTGTTTCTTGACTGGAATCTCAAGATTGTCCCATTTGGCAGCTGGTCAGTTTCCTCTTGTATATATATCATGACTTGGGACATATACAAGGCTAAGTGGAAATAGTAGTTGTCCTGCTTCATTAATCCTAAATCACTCACTATGTTTGGGAAATAGAAATTTTATTTGCCATTTAATGTTACCAAAAAGCATTGACATCCACACTTCAATTTATGTATCATCTTCACTTATGATTATCATGCTTTTTAGCTTCAGTATCTTTTGAAGTTTTGTCTTGATTGAGATGTTAACTTTGTCCTTAAAACTTTTTGCCTTGAGAACTGCTGACATTGGTTTATTAATTAACTTTATATTTAAAGGAAGACTTTTTTTTTTCCCATTGGTCAAGTATGTACTAGAGTGATAGTTTCTGGACATTTTCGTTTTCTAGATATCTATGTATCAGGACAGCTCTTTCCCCTTATGGGCTGCTTTAGAAGAGCTGCTTCTTTCTCTTCTTCTTTTGCCATGGATGTAAATGATCCAAATATATTACTATATTTGTTCTTTATGTGCAGATACTATATTGCTTGGACTGAGCATCATCATTTTGGAATATTCCATTTGTGTTATTGCACATATGTTTTTAGGAACTATACTAGGTAGATATAATCATTTGCAAGGGAACTGTACTGTTCATTTCAAATCCTGGTTCTTTCTCTCCTAATTAGGTTAGGCACACATTTCTTTATTCTGCTGATGCTACCTTTAGAGGACATTCTTTAAACATATATAGACAAACTCCCAGACCTTATACTTCTATCATCTATTTTTTTTTTTGTCTTCTAAATTTTTCTTGTCTCCTCTGATTGCTGCTCAAATCCAGATATGTATAACCCCCCCCCCCCAATTTTTCTTCAATCAGGATAATCTTCCCTTGAGGATTATTTATACTATCACTAGAATTATTACTAGAATCTGTTTCATTTGAGTTTTTACATTATTACAAGACTGTATGGTATGTTGTTCTTACTGGTTATGACTTTTGGGTCCGATAAGTGTGTGCTGGCTTGTCAGGAGGGGTTAGGAGATCTGAATGTTATCACTTCCCCTGTTAGTCATTCTGATGTTTTCATCTTGGGTGTCATCCAGTTTTGCACTGTTGAAGTGCCTTTTTCGTTGTTTTAGGGCAATTTGTTTTTGTCACTTAGTCTCAATTTACTAGTGAAGTATGTATCAGATATGCTATTCTGTGACCAATATTGTGTGTGGTTTTTGCTGTTAGTCCATCTTTACCACTCTGTATTGTATTAAAATGCCATTAAGTACAAAGGATATCCCTGTCCTGAAAATTTTTAATCCATGACCGTTTTGATCTGAGTGTATGAATATTTTGCATCAGAAAGGGCTGTTAAATGCCTTTCCCAAAATGATCAGGTTTTGATGACATCTCACTACCTACAAAATACAAAACAGTTCAGTGTTTAGTTTCAATAAGTGCTGTTCTGTTTTATATCCACTATGGTTGACACATACTCAATCATTTTAGCAAGATGTTCTCAACCCTCTGTATACATGTATTTGTATTAATTATTATGTTTTTTAACTTTTTTTTTACTTTCATGAGGATTATTCTGCATTTTTAACTCTATATGGATTTAGAACTAAACTTAATCACCTAAGGTGGCCAGACCTCATGAGATGTTATTGAAAACATTTTCAGAAATATTATGAACAGCAATGGTACCCAAATGATGAATCAACACATTCTAATCATTATAAGTTTTTGTTTTATGATCGTGTATACTCCTTATCAGACCAGTGTATTAAATTAGCTAAATTACATACTAAAATAACTTTTGTTCTGATTTATGTATATAGCTTGCTTTGGTCAGACATTGATGATAACAGCATTAACAATTAGAATATATTTTCAGAGGACTATTGATTTACTCTATCCAGTTAAGGAATTCATTAAATTGGCAGTATGTCACTAAACGTGACATGTTGAACAGAATTTTATTGAATTTAAAATTAGTAAGCATTAGAGGTGGACTGAACCAATTCAATTTTGAACATTGTGTCGGAAAAGTCTGTTATATACCTTTCCTCAAATAAATAAGTTTTTTTGAAAAGTTTTTTTGGTGTACAAAACTTGAAGATAGCTTTTATATGCAGAAACATCTGTTAGCTGAGTTCTTGCACAGATCTTAAAATATAATGTTGATAAACGGAAACATCGGCACATGTAGATATGTAGATCTTGAAAGTCGAGTTGTTCAAAACTTGAAAATAACATTGATAATTGGACCAATTGTTGGTTGAGATGTTGCAAAGGAAGTATCTGCTAAAGCTTTTCACCAGACACTAATCATAGCAGAACTGTCTGGAAATAGTACAGCTTATAAAATGAGTCAGACCAATGTAGGCCAGTAAGGCAATCACTGATTGGCATGTCCTTAAGCCAATCAGGAAATGTCACAGACCTACTGAAGGATGTGTAGATTGTTTAGAAATTATTTTTGGCAGCAAAGGACAGGTTTATATGTTTTAATAAAGGTGGCTTCCAAAATATAGAGATGAAAGGTTGACAGACCATTTGCAATCATTTTAAACCTGCTATCCATGTAGTTGTCAGCACAAGTCGGGTTCACTAGTAAATGATGGCCAATCACTGATTCACATTTTGATGTTATTACACTATGTACAAAATGCCAGACATTGTCAAAATGTAGTTCTGATACATGCCATTCCTTCATAGCTTTCTTTTGGCTGTGGTTGTGCATGCTTTGTTGATTTGCATATTGAAAATAGTTTCAATATTATATACTCTGTAAAATTGCAACCATTATTTTTTGTCAGTAATGTTCTTTATGTATGTAATTACCAATGCTATGTTTATGTAATGTTTATGTACCTGGTACAATTAGAGTTGAGTTATTCAGAATAAGTATTTTTGCTAATAGGCCTAAAAATTGTGATAAAAATCACATTAAGTGCATTCCACTTAAATTTAAAATTGTAGATACAAAATCAGAAGTGTGTAATACTGATATTATTTTCCTAATTAAAGTTTTATCTGTAATATTGTTCTTTTGATATGTTTCATTTCTGTTTGTATTCTACTTTTAAATTTATTTTGCAGCTGGTAATGATATTAAAAGAAACAATACTTTTGTAGCATATTTAGCAATTGTGTAGTTAGATTATTACTTTAATATTATTTCACATCTGACAAGTTTTGTTAGAAGAAAGTGAAACAATGAATTTTTGAATGCTAGTTTTAGTATTACTTCCTACTATAGAATGTTTCTGACCATATTTTTGTCCTGTTTTCCATTTGTTTTTATGTTCCTGACAAGAGATAGAGAAATTTAATTAATAAACTCAACAAAGTTTAATCTCTATTTGGGTCTCTTAATCCTTTTCTCGGGTTGCTAGCTCTTTATGATATCATATATGTCAATGTTTATTTTCTATCTAGATGGAGATTTTAACAGTGCAGTGTGTCCATACTTTTCTATGGGTGATGGAAACTAGACATTGTACTTGTATTTAATCACATCATTGTTAGCAGCTAATAAAGTAAAATAATGTTGGTAATTATAATAAATAAAACATTACATATCTTCTTGTAAAATTTTTATGTAAATATTTGCTCTCATAAGTTGTTGTTTTTGTTGTTTTAAACACTTGCAGTTAAATCCACACTGGTTATGAAAGAAGTCCAGCTGCTTCCAGACTACCTTATACCATTCATTAAAATGTTTTTAATGTCAGTTTGTATATCATATTAGCATGGTTGATTAAATGTTCAAAGATTTCTAGGATGTGATTAAACTATACTAGTACCTTTTTTTTTTTACTTATAAACAGAAATTTTATAACGGGATCGCAAAAAAGTATTTATAAAAATAAAAAGTCGGAGTTTTGCTTAAGTCAATCATTTGTAGAATATTAACACCAAAATAATATTAAGATTGTCACACACACTATTCTAGTATGTCATTCTTAAGTTTTGCCCATCAACAGTGGTGTGTTTATAAGTATACACTGTATATTATCCTTGGACTGTCACTTTACTACTAGATTTTACTTGAGTTAAATAGGAAGCAGTTTATAAGCAGGAATATGTATGCTGACACAGTAGTCAGGTTGTTGTAGTGAATTATCAAAATGTCAGGATTATTACAATAGTAGGGGTATAAACTGTCTTTTTTTTTAATACAGTGAAGCCATTTCAGCATTGCAATGTATTAAAACTGAAGATCTTCAGATTGCTGTACAGAGGTAGGCAAAGTTTATTTTATTTTTTCCATTATAATGTTATTACTTAGCTTATTCTAAAAATTATTTTACTTTTTTTGTGCTGTCAGTACTGTACTTCTTCATTGCACAAATGGTTTCTTTTTTACTTTTTTTAAAGTTTTGAGATGGTAGGGAGTCTTATCTTGAATGCAAGTATACCCGATAAATTTTCTATTATTTGTTAGTACACAAAAATGTACAGAGGTGTCAGAACCAGGAGTGCTACAGCACCCCACACATTTACATGTCTTACTCGTATAGCAACTGTAAATTCTGTTATTATATTAAATTTATGAGGGATATGCCCCCAGACCCACCCAGATTGATCTGCCTTTGGCAGCACGGAAGCTGTTTTTAGTAGCTCCTTATACTTTTAAATCTCTCATTGTAAAATCTGCATGTCTAACCAAGCACCCCCACTTTGTAACTCTTTCCTACACCACTTATTTAGGTAATAGCTTTAAAGTTTAGTTTTTTACTGACATACTAAATTTAGCTAACATTTCTCAAAATATATCAGTTAAACAATCTCTTTGTGAAGACATATACTTTAAACTTACTATCATTTAACTGGTATTACAGCTTAGTTGAGAGCTTTAGAAGATGCTAATGCTCTTGATTCTTGAATCATTATTACAAGAAACTGAAGGATATTTGTTATTCTCTGAGCAGCAAGGAGCCTGTAAAAAGCCCTCTGTCAGAAGAAAAGGATACTCCAAGAAAGAACTTGGCTGAGAGTACAGTTCAGTGTGAGACAACTGTGACCGACTTTTCCAAAGCTTTAAAAAAGTTTTGTGTATCCCCTGATAAAAAAACTGATATTCATGACCAGATGAATGAGAGGTGAAACTTTATAAAAAAAAAATCTTAAAACCATAATAATAATAATTCAAAGTTTTAATTGTAAGTTTTGAATAAGGGAAAAGTTCAATGAAATATACTTTTAGACAAACCATATTATGTACTGTTTTACACCAAGCTGTAAAGTTCTTTCCCATCCTGTATGTCAGGTGAGAAAGACTGTATAATCAGGTCTTTTATAATTAAGTTATAATCTAAGAACTATAAGAACAGGAAATTACACTTCTAATGAGTTAGAAAGGTCCTAGTCAGCTTAACATAAAATAATAATAACTTCCAATCAGAGTAAGCTATGCACTTAGAGCAAAATTAAATATCAACCTTTCCATCAGTATAACTAATTAAGTATACTTTTATTACCTTTATACTTATCAATATTTGAATGCATGGTTTCATCAGTTGGATATCTTTGCTTTTAATGATATTTTTGGCTGTAAACCCAATAATATCTCACAAGGTTCAACCAACTTAGGAGATTTAGTTTAGTCTTAAATACAAATTCTAAGCTATCAATGCAAAACGATCTTTATAATAATAAATGACAAATGAAAATAAAAAAGTAATTACATTTCATATACTAACTGATATATCCAGTATTATCAATGAAAGCAACAATAAATAAACAAAATAACATATCTTATTTAGGGAACACACAAACAACAGTTCTTGTCTTGAACCATTGTTGTAAGTATATTTCTTTGGGAATTAGAATCTTGTTCTCTCTACCAAAGAATAAACTCATTACTGCACCCCAACTATAGAACATTAGAGGCTATCCTAACTGGGACAATTAAGCTGTGGCCCGGCATGGTTAGGGCACTTGACTTGCAATCTGAGGGTTGCAGGTTCGAATTCCAATTCAACCAAACATACTCACCCTTTCAGCCATGGGGCATTATAATGTGACTGTAAATCCCACTATTTGTTGGTAAAAGGGTAGCCCAAGAGTTGGCAGTGGGTGATGGTGACTAGGTGCCTTCCTTCTAATCTTTCACTATTAAATTAGGGATGGCTAGCACAGATAGCTTTCATGTAGCTTTGCATGAAATTCAAACCAAACCAATTAAGCCGTATGTTTTAGTTTAAACTGTGTAGGGTTGGTAGTATAAACTTTTCCATGGCACAAACAAAAGAAGTGTTCATTAATAATTTCTACAAAAATAATATGTTTTATGTACAAATACATGAGGTATAAGTATTAGATATAAAAACTAATCTAACTAATATGTAACATCAATCTTAGCTAATATTATATAAACTATAAGCTATAAATTATAAATATATGTTATCAACAATGGTTGATAAAATCAGCAGTGATTAATATATAAAGCTGTTTACTATCACACCAAATAAAATTCCAAGGAATCATAGTGAAGACATAAGTTTTAAACTGTACTCTGTAAAACTTGAAAATCCGTAGTTGAATTTTCCACAGGATTGAATGAAATTTATATTTAATTTTTACAATGAGAAACTGTTATGAAATATTTGAGGGAGGTTACAAGCTTTATCTGCAAAACCTTGTACTGATGAACAAATTCTATTGCATTTAATAAGCTGAGAGTGGTAAATGTTGTAACCAATAAATATTTTAGATTTGTATGTGGTAGGCATAAAGAGGATAAAAAGATTTATCTAACAAAAAAAACAGTGATATTGTGTTACTGTATTTATTATCTGTAAATCTATGAAGTTATAGAAGCTGCTGGTTTCACATCATATAATATGTTTTCTATTGATTAGAAAATTATTGGATCAGTAATCTTAAAATTGTAACTCAGTTTAGTTGATTACATGATAGAGACACTTTTACAGATTTGTAATCATATAGTGAATGTTATAAGTGTTATTTAACACTTTATTAAGAGGGTAAGGGGACTGGTACATGAATTAAATGTCAAAAACATTTGTTGTACATATGAATTATTCAATTTATTGTTGTTCAGTCTGTAATAAGTTGTTTCAGCCTGTGTGAGATTTCTGATAAAATGTTATTACTTTTTTTTCTGATAATATTATGATTTATGATGAAATACTAAACTTGCTATTCTTAAACTTTGTAAATATGTTGTTTCAGAGCTTCTGAAAAATCTCAAGCAGTCAGTGGAATGAGCCAATTTGATTTAACATATGAGAGTGCCCCTTTAGTGCCTAATATCATGTCTGCTGTTAGGCCAGGCCTAACTATGAAAGAATCTGGAGAGAAAAGAATTATTCAGTGTGTGCTGGGTGCTCCAACAGCTTTAGGAATTAACATAGGAGAGGAGACATTGACCTATCTCAACCAGGGTGATTATTGTCAAACTTTAGCCAGCATTAATCATGTTATAAGCATACTGTCTGAAGATAAACAAAAATGCAAGAAAACTATTTAAAGTACTCATTTTGATAAAGAAATGAGAAAATTTTGACTTCATCGTTTTTGGTTTTGTGTGTGTGTGTGGATAATGTCTTTGAATGTTTGGTTGAAACAAATTTCTTAATAGAAGTTTAGGCATAACATTGGATGTAAGTTAATTTTTTTTTTACATTTAATATTCTGGTGCCCAACTTGGCCCACTTTGTCCTGAGGGCAAAGTTACTCTTTTGAATAGTTGTTCTTTCACACATCTTTTTGAATACTTCAGAAGGGAGATTTGTTCAAAAAAAATTTATTCGACTTTATAAATAAAATGAAAAGAAATCTCATATTTTGATTTTGTGGCTGATTTCAATGTGGTCTGAATGAAAACAGTAGCTCCCTGTGAGGAAAGTCAAAACTAGTGCTAACTTGAACTGTGGAGCTTTGGTACAAGTGTAGTTTTATCAATTTTAGCCAATAACTGTTTCTCAAACTTAGTTGTCATGGTATAATGTGATTGCCTACATCTCGACTTTAAGATCTTGTAGGTGAACAATCTAATTTTACAACTTCTTACTTTACAGAAATTTGTTTTTCAGATACTCAAGTTGTATTTTTGATCACTTTAAGTTTGTTGAATTAGTGGAAGTATAATATTTTCTGAAATTTCAGGTATTATTGAATACTTATGGTAAGGTCGTGGCAATCAGATATCAATCACTGTCTTTGTTATTAGTCTGCATGAATCACTTTTATCAGAAATGCTTGGTAATACTCTCAAAAACAGCTGTTCTAAGACCCATTGTTTGGCTCAAATATGTTAATGATACATTCATAATTTGGCCAAGATTTCAGAATTCACGAACCACCTAAACAGACATCATTTAGCAATACAGTTCATTTTAAAAATATTAAAAAATAAAAATAGATAAGCTTTTGTTCTTAGACATGATATTCAACAAGAAGCAGAACTCACTGGAGAAATATCTTAATTGTAGACCAAACATAGAAACAGTGTAAAGATGGGTGTCACAGACTGCTTAGAATGAAAACTATTTATATTGTAGATGATGCTATGAAGAAGGGAAAAAAACTGAGCACTATGATCTCCAATGAAAATAGATACTCTGAACACTTGACAAAGAATAAAGTAAGAAAGACCAAGAATAAGCATGGAGGAAGTTACAGATCCACAGCATCCTATGTGAATGTGGACTCCACTACAGAGAATAAACAAAAAAGACCAACAAAAATCAGAATTAAAGAGCCAAATAAATACACAAAACTGCAATAACTACTGATATTTACCCAATAGCCCATCATGTTAGAGAAGAAGACCCTTCAGTAAAGTGGAATAATGCTAAAGTAGTTGGATATGCACAACACATACAAAAAATGATGTAAAAAACCTTCTACACCCAACTAACTGATGAACACAATGAACTTAGCATAGAAGTTAGCATTGAAAACACATGTACCATGAAAAATCATCAGAGGAAGGGCATCCTAGCTCGAAATATTGTGAACATTAAAACATCTATTTAACGTTAACCATTTTATATGATTTAAGTTTTTCACTTTTTTGTTTTCCATTTTATTTTACCACAGCAGTTTTTTAGCTGATAGAGGTCATTATACCTGAATAATTATCGTAAAACTTTTCATATAATTAGTTATTCAAATGGGGTAGGAGCCAAGACAAGTATAAGGCACACCTGACTTTTTGACTGGTGATCAGATCCTGGTTTCTAGTGAAATGTAGAATATAAAATAACTAATACTTAGTGTCTGATTGATGATAAAAAGTAACTAATTACCAATTAGACTTGTAACCTATTAACCATGACAGTTATATTCTTAACTTATGCTAGCATTAATATTAATGTAACATAATTACCAGGCCTGCTGTATGGTTATGGAACATGTGGGTGTGTGTGTATATATATATATATATATAGAAACACAATGAACTTAGCATAGAAGCTAGTATTGAAAAAGAAACATGGAAAACTTGTACTATGAAAAATCGTCAGAGGAAGGGCATCCCAGCATATATATATATATATAGACACACACACTTTTGTATAATTATGAGGCTTTAAAGTGTTTTATAA